GGAATCGGGGACTTCCCAGAGGCAGCCACATCTCTGCCAAGGAGCTGTGGGTTATCCAGACTGGCACCTCCACCCCAAGACCCAGGCTGCCCCCCACTTACTTTCCAAACACAGGCTCCAGCGTACAGGGGATGTAGTTATCCTGGTCACTCACCGATTTCTTCCCTATGGAAATCTTGACGTAAGGATCACACTGAAGGAGGAGACAGAAAGATTTTAGTGAAATTACTTCCCCAGCGTATCTCTGAGGCCTCTTCAGTCCTCTGCCTCCCGATGGGACTAGGTGGCCGGCCATCAAGGAGCTGTCATCCTGTCATCCTGCCAGGCCAGGGACCTGCACGCCATAGCACTTGGCCCTGAGGTGGGCTTCTAGCCACAGTCCAGCAGTGGACATGGGGTACCTGAGTCCTCCATACCCCCAACCCACTTCCCCACTGGCAGAAGGTGGGTGGGGGCCAGGCTGATATCCTCATAAGCATACCAGTTCGTATGACATATGTGATTGGGCCAAGCTGGGGTCCTCTCTGTGACCTCTGCTTCAGCAGATGGAAAAGGAGAGAGATGGCCAGACTTTGTCAGTCAAACCCAGGCCCAGTGGCCTTCCCTGAAAGCTTCCTATGAGCAACAGTATCCCCTCCACTAGCTGCCAGGAGCCAGGGCCGGAGAGTGCTCACAGTCATTCTTGGCATCAAGAAGACTTGAAGTGCATGAGCTGATCATTGGTCACTAGCACTTCTTGAAGGCCCCTGGTAGTGCCTGTTCTGGGGATGGTTCCATTCTGCTGTGTGACCTCCCAGAAGGACAGGGGCAGCCATGACTTCTCACCTTGAAAACCTGGGCTCCAAGGGTAGGACACTAGGCCTTCACCCACAACTTCAAGGACACATGCTAGGCCTACACCCATCTAAGGGGTCAGGAGAGGACCCTAGCCTCATACATCTGAACTCCAATCGCCCCCACGCCTGCCTCTTCTCTTCCCTCTTTCTCTCTCTTTCCAACTTAACTCTGCCTCTCCCCCACCAGCTCCCCACAACTCCAGACTCCTGCCCTCCTTCAAGTTCCCCTCTTTCATTCAGGACCAGGACTAGAGAGAGGTGATGAGGTGCTTGCCTCAGGCATAAAATTGAAGGGAGGGCCAAAAAAGCTCAGTCATCAAGATAAGCAATATTTTAATGAAATATTTAAAAAATTAAAATCAATGCCAACAGTCCATGGTCAACAAAATATCAAAAGTTTAAATAAATACAGGATCAGTATTACTGATTTTTCTTTTAGCCCCAGAGCCCATCATGGCATAGCAGAACTGCTGATCCTGCACCACTTACCTCTCTCCCCCACCATCGAAAGTCCTACAAGACAAGTCCCAGCCTACACCTTCAAGGCTGCCTATCCTTATGCCTTATCCTTGTGCTAAATGTACTCTAAGAAGTCCTCTGGAGAACTTCTGCAGAGGTTTTTGATGCCTCCTAAAATACTATTTTCTCCTCCCTCCCAGCCTATCAAAACTCCATCAATCCTTAAGAATCCTATTCTTTCGGAAGCCTTCCTCATTATTCCAATGTCTTGTACTGACTTAGGCCTTTTCTGAACTTCTAGAGCACTTGGCCCTTGATAGAACTCCATCTAGCCACATCTCAGTTTTGTATATTTGTCTGGTTTCCCTGGATTGCTGTGAACTTCCTAGGGCAGAGGTGTATCCAGATTCTGTAGCCCTTTGTACCTCTGAGTGCAGGTGAGAGCTCTACAAATGTTACCTTCCCATTGGGGTCCTTGGGCTGCAGGCCAAATGCTTGGATAATATAGATGCGGACCAGGCACTCCTGGGGCCCCTGGGCAGCCAGCTGGTGGAACTGTCTTGGGGGTATGGGGATGGATGGGTCTTCTGGGAGGGGATAAATTTTGAAAAGGCCCTAAAAAGAAGAAGGAGTCAGCTTTTATTTTTATCATCATTGTCACCAACACAATCCCCACTATGATCATGGCTTTCATCTCTTCCAGAGTCATCACCACTGAGATCAACCAAGCCCAATGCCATCCCATCACCACCATCAGATTCTGCATCAGCAGCATCACCATCACTGTCACCACCTCCCTCATCCACATGGTCACCAGCATCAGCACCACAGTCATATGGATATTACTACAGTACTGACCCCTTCACTGACTGCTGCCCCTCCAGTCTTAGGCCTCCCTGGGCTACGAACATGTCCTCAAGGCCTTACCTTAAATTCCCCAATGACAGATGGGTCCTCCATTTCCTCCTGAGTCTTGCCCCGGTAGAGCTTGAAGGTGTTACAAAAGTCAGACAGGCCCTCAAAGGCCTCCACATTCTCCAGTTGTGTGTCATAGACCTGCCACATGCGGGACAAGAGAACGGGACAGGAAAAGAGAGAAAGAAGAGGGATAGCAAAGGCAGAGGAAACACAGCAGTGTTCGAGTGAAGGAAAGGAGAGAAGAAAATGAGAGGTAAAGACCACAAGCAAATTAGAGGAACATAGACGAAGAGGAGAGCAGGTGGGAGAGGTGGAGATAAGAGATGGGGCCAAGGAGGAAGAGAGGCAGGAGAGGGAAAGAACAAAGGCAGAGATAACAAAGATGCAAATAGCGGAGATTAAAGAGGGGGGCGGGAGAGAGTAAGAGGAAGACATTTATTTAGTGCCACTGGGGAACAGGGTTTTCTGGTTAAAGCAGTATTCTAGGTATCTGAGAGTCATCTCATACACAGGTGGTGCATTTTTTCAAGAGAATAAGATTATAGTCAAACAAATGCATGAAAAGCTAACTAACATTTTGTTTGAAGATCAAGACAGAACTCCGGAAAAGTCACAGGTCAGCAAGTCAAGCCACAGTGCTCATTGTCCTGATGTCCAAATGGCAATGGGATCAAACACCGGGCCGAGTGGGCCTTTTGAGCACCACTTTAAATTTGCGAACTCGATTTCTTTATTTCATGCCTCCCAAACAGCCAATGACTTTTATTTGTTAGGACAGTATTTTGGAATTGCTTAGATTTAAACAAAGCAGTGGCTCTCTGTTTTAAAAAATAAAATATACCTAATAAATAGTGCTATTCAACAACCTAGCAGACATGCTAAGTTGGTTATATCTGAAACTGAGAAGATACTTCAGGAAAGTTCCTTTCTCATAATGTTAAATATTATTTCTCATTGAGGCCTAGCTCAAGTTCTAGCTCTTCCAAGAAAGCATTAATTAAGCAAGTGATATAGGTTCATTATTAAAAAATATAAAATACAAGTAAATATAAAGAAAATATTATTATTGCCTTATATTCTGATTCCCAAAATATAACAACTCATTGCTTGGTTAACATTTGATATGCATTTTGAATTTTTTCTTGCTCCATTTACACAGTTGATTCATTTCAAAGGACTAGTCTTTTGATTTGTCAATCCTACCATTTTCTCTATTCTAGTTCCTTATTTCTGATTTTATTATTTCTTCTTTCTATTGTTTTAAGGTTTTTTTAAAAAATTCTAACTTCTTCACTTGAAGCTTTGTTTACTTTGCTCCCTCTATTCTGATAAGAAAAATACTTACTGCTCTGAAATCGTCTCTGCTTCCTACTGCCTTGGCACTGCCGCATTTGTTTTTGCTGTATAATGTTTTCATTTTCTTGGCATTCCGTAATCATAGTTTTACTTTATTATTTGATCCAAGAGCCAGATGCTTCATTAGTTTTCATTCTTTCTTTTTAGTTTACATAAGCTTTCAAGGTTACAAACTTCCTCTGAACACTGCTTTAGCTATAACCAGTAAATGCTAATGCGAAGCATTTTATCATTTCCCAGATATTCTGAAATTTTGGTTTGTATTTTCTTTTTCACCAAGAATTGCTAAAAAAAAAAAAAAAATAGGGCCTTAAAATATTTTTTCTAGACGGAAGTGCCTTTGGGGGCTTTTGATCTTGTTAGTAAGTTCTAATTTTATAGTATGATCAAAAACCATTATCAGTGGCATTGGCACTTTTTGAAATTTATTAAGGTTTTCTTCGTGGCCTATTACATGGTCAATTTTTACAACTGTGCAGTCTCTATTTTCAGGCTGCAGGGTTTAATCAAGTTAATAATTATGCTGGTTTTCTATATCCTCTCACATTTTTGTTCCTTTGACCTGACATGAACTGAGAGAATAGAATTAAATCTCCCCCTACCTACCAGAGTGTTGCCATTTCTTCTTGTATCTTCACAACAGAAATTGAGTAAATATTGATATATTATTTAGCACATAGATACTCTCAAAACTATCATCTCTTGGAATTGACCCATTTAATGTTATTAGGTGCCATTCTTTGCCTCACTTACTTTGGGGACTTGAATGCACTTTCATCTAATGTGAAGATTGAAGATTGTGACTTCTGCTTTCTTTTAGTTTGCATTTGCCAGGCACACATTTTCCCCACTTATTTTTTATTTTCAGCCTTTATGGATGTTTTTATTTTAGAGTTAGGTTTTGTTCTGAGATCTGATTTCAATTTTGTTATTAATAAGTAATTGATATGGCATATAAGTTTAGTCTGCTTTTACACTTATATTTATATAGTTATATAGTTATAGTTTTCTAGATTCATCGATTATTTTTTAATCCTCACCCAAGAATATTTTTCCATTGATTTTTAGAGAGAGTGGAAGAGAAAGGGAAAAATAGAGAGAAATATTGATGTGAGAGAAGCACATTGATTGGTTGCCTTCTGAATGCACCCCAACCAGGGCAGGGACCAGGGAGGAGTCTGCAATTGAGGTATATGCCCTTGACCAAAATTGAATCCTGGACCCTTCAGTCCTCAGGCCGATGCTCTATCCACTGAGCCAAACCAGCTAGGGCAGATTCATTGATTTTTGTTTAATCTTTGCCTGCATGGTCTGGTGTGTGTGTGTGTGTGTGTGTGTGTGTGTTTCTTCTGAAATCTAGGATGACTTGAATTTATATTCTCATCTATATAATAAAAGCCTAAGCAACCTTTACAGCAGAACGACCAGAATGACCAGTCGCTATAATGCGCACTGACCACCAGGGGGCAGACGCGCAACGCAGGAGCTGCCCCCTGGTGGTCAGTGCTCTCCCACAGGGAGAGTGCCACTCAGCCAGAAGCCAGGCTCATGGCTGGTGGAGCCTCTCCCGCCTCCGCAGCAGCACTAAGGAAGGAGCAGAGAGCCCAGCGGTAGGAGCAGCAAGCAGGCAGGCTGTAAGGAGTGAGGGGTCCCAGACTGCAAGAGGGATGTCGCACTGCTGGCTTAGACCCAATCCCCATGGAGAGTGGGCCTAAGTCACAGGCGTACATCCCCCGAGGGGTCCTGTACTGCGAGAGGGCACAGGCTGGGCTGAGGGACACTCCCCGGCCCCCGCCGTGCACAAATTTCATGCACCAGGCCTCTAGCATTATTATAAATTTATATATAGTAACAATGCTCTACTTCATCTTTGTCTTTAGAGACAATATTTATAAATTACCTACTATAGCAATGATAAATTAATCAAATTGCATCTCCTGTCCTCTCCATCACCCAATATTAGACAATATTATCTTCCTTAATATTTACTCCTGTACTGTTTGTTTTTAATTTGCCAATTTTAAATAATATCTGTCAACACTATTTGTTCTATAATATGGCAATCATTGTCTTACTTTGTATCACATCCCCTTTTTTTCTTCTCCATCTAATTTTTGTCAGTTTTATCATTTCTACATTTTCAGTATATATATTAATATTCCAGCCTATTACCCTAACCCTTCCATTTATTTTGATTTTAGGTCTAAGGTAAAACGTGATCACAACTAGTCCTCTTGTTGTGGTTATCTCCTAGTTGGTTGAAGTTCATTCCCCAGAAGCTCCTCAGGATGGGCTCATGGGAGTCACATTACCTGTTCCTGAATATGCATGCCTGGGTGCTCATAGCCTCTGTGCTTGAAAGGCAATGTGGCTGCATACAAATCCTCAGTCACCCTTTCTCTCCTCGATGATCAGTGGATGGTGCTTTATTATCCTTGGGTAATAAATGTTGTGGAGAAATTAAAGCCACCTTGATTTATTTCTTATTTTAAATGACAATATTTTTGAAAGGAAATGTGCATGACTACACCAAAACATTCTTTATCTCTAAAGTTCAATAATATATACTAGGATTTGTCTCAGGATTGATCAATCTGGGTCAATTTTTTCCTGACACAAAGTGGACTAATATGTATATTCAAGTATTCTTTTATCTCAAGTTTTATTAAAGTGTTAAGTGTTCATTTGGTTTTTTTCATTGTTTTGTTTGTCTTCTGAAGCTCCAATTATGCAAATGTTGGATCTCCTTTCCCTGCATCTATATGTCATTTTTTTCTTTTTTTTTTATAACTCTTTCTTTATTTCCATTTCCTTGTGCTTACTTTCACCATTTCTGTCCTCTATGCCCCTTACCGTGTTTTCCAAAGTGGACATTCTGCCTTGGGCTCCTTCGTGTTTCCTTCTCTTCCTTTCCTGAATCTTATCAGCTCATATTTCATCTCTTCTCATCTCGATCCCTTGAGTTTTTTTCATTTCTGCTTTGTATTCTGACTGCCCATTTCTAAGAAGTTTATAGCAAAATATGTCACCTTGTCTGCTCCTTGGCAAACTTTTTTTGGCGGGTACATATCTTCTTCTTTTGGTTATGATTTAAATTTTCGCTTCCTTTTTTCATAGCATTTTAAAATTAATGCTGTGTTATTTCTTTTATTATTACTTGTCACTAAATGTATTGGATTTTCCTAGATGAATTATTTCTTTTGTTTCACCACAGATGCAGACAGCTTCCTGCAACAACGGCCCATCTGTGTGATTCTTGTGTAGCTCTACCTTCTCAGCTTCTGTGAACCAAGCAGGCTCTATAAGGCTTTTGTAACCAGCCTGAGCCTGTCTTCCAAGTTCCTATATCCATTGTGGTGAACAAGGGATATAACTTTTATATTTTATGGTTAAACCTCAATTTCAGGAACTATATTTTTTAACTATTTGTTATGAAAATTTCAAGCACACACAACAGTAAAGAGAAGAGATAATAAGCCCCCATGTACTTATAACCTGTTTCAAATAGTTATCAGCATTCTTTTATTAGGAAGTCAGGGTTTCCTGAGATCTGCTACCACTATGACCTTTCATCATTTCCATGCACCTTCTCTTAATTTACTGCCGAGTGGCTTCTACCCAATCTCAGTTGCCTTTGGACAACCCTTACATGTATTTTGGAGTCTGCAAATTTTATTTGTTTCCAACTTTTACTGAAAATGGAGTTTGTGGGTTTGAATGATTTCCAGAAGAAAGGGGGAAAAATGCTGACGTATGCAGCCATGTTCATACTGGAAGTTCCAATAAAATACTTTTTAAATTTCCAAGTGGTTGGTCTTTTTGTTTAAACTTTTGTTATTTATTTCTCATCTTATTACATTTTAATCTGCCTTGTATGATTTCTGCTTTTGGTAACATATTACTAAACTAATATATGATCAAATTTTGTAAGTGTTCTCTGAGCATTAGGAAAAAATGTATTCTTTATTTTTAAATTATTCTTATTCTCTATTATAAAGCTACTTTTAATGTAGCTTAAAAACATTTACTTTGTTATTCATATATTTTATTTCCTTATTTATTTCCTGCTTCATTTGTCTAGGAGAGAGGTACATTAAAATCCCCACTGCAATTTTAATTTAGTTTATATATTCCTATCATTTTTGCTTTAAGTATTTCTAAGATTTATTGTTCTATGCAAACATATTTGGGAATTTCTTTCATTCAGATGTACATGTTTTACTTCTATAAAATACTCCATTTTGTTTCCTTTGCTTTTCACTTTAAATTCTATCCCTTTCTCTTTTGTTTGCACTGATCATATTTTGTTTGCCAAAATATTTACTTTTCACCGTTCTAAGTTTTACTGCTTTAGACATGTCTTTGAACGATAGTACATGTCTTTGACTTCTGGTATATTCTAAGAATTCTTATCACTTAATAGATATGTTTAATTTATTTTTATGTATTAGGAAAATGAATATATTTTATTCTTTTTCTATTGTGTTTTCCTATGATGACTGGGATTTTTTTTATGCTTTCTTGCTGTATCTTTTGTTCTCTATCTTTTGCTATTGAGACGATGAGTTGTTGTTTTTCCCCCATGCTAATGATTACCAAAATATATTTTTCTTTTTGTCCACTGTGTATCCATTCTCTCCATATTGCTGGAGGCTATTTTTCAGTCTCATGTTGGTGGTGGTGGTTTTCTTCTATTTACTTATCCTTAAAGGACCAGTGTTCTTTCACATCTGTTTTTCCCTCCAGTAACACGTTGAGTGCATACTTTCAGAGAGCCCATTTTCTCTTGGATACTGTCAGAGATCTCAGAGAGGTCAAGCTGGAGGCCTGGTGCCAATTCAGCATCCGGCATCTGAGGGAGCAGCAAGGGGGGGGCAACATAATGGGCCACCCTGGCAGGAGTTCTCATTCTTACTTGGTTTTCTCATTTCTTGACAAGGCTACAGTAAAAACATGCCAGACCTAAAGTGTCGAACCTTTTTTCCTGGTACACAAATAGTTCTGTCTCTTTGCCCAACTTCACATACCCAACTACCAAGTCAATGAAGAGCTTGCTGCCTGAGGCCTCATCTCTGTGCATCCAGGTCTCCAGACACAATTCGCCCATAAGCCTCCAATGTATCAGACAATTCTTGACGCTTTGTGAAATCGCCCTTCAGAGTACACACCAAAGGCTTTCAGCCAGCAGAGTTGCCTGGACGCCCCAGCCACTCACCCTGCCAACTAGCCTCAAGTCCCAGTCATCAAGACCCTTTAGGGTGCTCCATGGGCCTCTCCCATGTGTGTCTGACAGCCTTTGCAGTACAGTGGGGCCTTGACTTACGAGTGTCCGGACTAACGAGTTTTTTAAGATACCAGCTGTCTCTCGGCTGATTTTTTGCATTGAGTTGATAGAGTAATTTGAGTTAACGAGCTCCTTAACGAGCTCAGTCTCGCAACGAATTAAACTCGTAAGTCAAGGCCCCACTGTACTTCTATAAATATGGTGACCAGATATAGCAAGTGGAAATATAGGACACCCAGTTAAATTTGTATTTCAAATAAATAAAAAATAATTGCTAGATAAGTATGTCTCATGAAACATTTGAAGCATGCTTACCTGAAATTCTGTATCTGGCAACCCTCTCCAGGACACTACACAACTCCTTTGGGAAGTGATTTTGAATCACCTCTGGTTATCTTTTTCAAAAGTAGCCTATTTTTTTTAAAGTGTAATTGTATTTGTGGAATTTCCTCAAAATACCAGAATTTCTCTGACTCATCCTTGGCTTTTGTTTGTTTGTTTGTTTGG